TTTCGCCAGTTTGAGCTCCGATTGGTCAATGAGAACAATGCGTGCAAGTTAGCCTTTGCGAGGGTCGGGCCCAAGGGTATTGATGTGAACGGGAGCAAGAGACTGTCTCCCACCCCGAGTGTGAGTAATTTGAATCTCAGGCCGGGTCGCTAAGCTATCTTTCAACCGTTTGGGTAACGCGGAGCTCATCCCGAGCCTCTGTCGATGGCTTCAATCGGGAAGGTTTGCAGAGATTGGCGACCTTTGATTCGCTCTCGGTGCAAAGGCGTCTTGAAGCAAGGTAACGAATGGAAAGGAGAACTATCGTGTGTTACCTAGGCGGAATTTGGAGGCGATTGGAACAGTTGGAGCGAATTTACGGCCGTTTTCCTTCGGTGGATCAGTCGAGCCGCTTCGCTGGAGTGCCCAACCTTGGTAAACCTTTATATAGAGAGAAAACCGTTAACATAAAAACCCATAAAACGGCCATAAATCGGCCCGTGGACCACACAGGAGAGATTGAACACACATTTTAAGTAAGGTAAGCTGTTTTTTTTTTGAAATCCTTTCATTTTCGTAGGTTACAGAAACGAAAGTTTTTTTTCCCATACAAATCCTTATATTTTGAATGTTACGCAACAATGCCGATGCTCGCCGATGCTCATATTTCGAGCTTGGGCTACCTGTGGTGCAGGGGCATTGTTAATTAGTCGCGCAAATCTGAGCTGTACACCGGCTATCCTTTTTAGAACCCACTTGAAACAGTCATGGGCTAGGAAGTTAATTTCTTAACTACTCATGACAAACGTTTCTGCAAAATATTTTTCTCAGAGTCAGTTCAGCACTAAGACCCCATCCAGATTGAGCTACGATTGATTGATAGTTTCTGAGAAACGTTTTGAAGTTCATTGGGCATTGCAGATGTCTGTCAAGTTCCTGATACAGGCATGATTGTTATTTTTGGCAGGGGTGAAAAGGAATGAGGAAAAATTATTGAGATCACCAAATTCATAAACACAACATATAATATCAGTTTCGTAACTCTAGAAATAGCATGTGTCTTAACTGAAACTATCTATTTTAAGCTTTTCTTTTTTTGAACGTAGCTAGCGTTTTCATTGGTGTGTACTGGTTTAATTTTCTCCGGGTATGTTAAAACTGCCAATTATTTAACTTCGAAGACACTCCCGGGTAAGCTACAATCCTTAAAGGACTTCGCTTGATATAAAAGCCCGAAAAGCTCAGTCATTTCCGTCATGGCTGACGAAATTGATTCTAAAATTAAAGTTAAATGGTACAGCACCATTTTTCTTCTCATGGGAACTATTTTAGCTGTTGCTGATCCAATCACGGACATACTTACTCTGAGAGAATTTTACCTCAGCGATCACAAGACATGGTTTGGCGTGGGCCTCGTGTTCGTTATTTTGCCGAGTCTGGTCATATCATGTCTTTACTATCGGTGGCACTACTTCCAAGTATTGTTTCTATGTTGGTGCAGGGGTATATTTAAAACGGATCATGAAGTAAAAGACGCGATAAAAGAGGTCTTCTCAACTCCAGATTTACTTTTTGGGTGGAATCTGTTGGCCCTTCCTTATAAGCGATTACAAGCATTTATTTTATGCTCCAGGAACTTTAAGAAATTATGGCATGAAACGTTAGAAGAGGACTGTGAGAAAAAAATCAAGAACTTAATATGTGACGAGACTTGGCTTGGGATGTTTGAGGCAATCCTGGAATCAGCTCCTCAGTTTATAATCCAGCTACAAGCAACTATTTTTCAACAGGAACAAGTTTCAACTATCCAAATAGTTTCCTTGTCTGTTTCTTCCTTAAGTTTGGCTTGGACCGTGACCAACGCCGATGTATAATGCTGTTGACTATTCACCATGGCAAGAAAATTCATAAAAAAAACTTTCTTTCTCATTATTAATATCGCAACTATTTCACGTCAGTGACAGATAATTGGCCATCACTTTCTTTTCTGTCGCTTCAAATGTAGTTCCTGTGAAAGAATCCACCAACTATTGTTATTTTTCACCTTGATATCATTTTACTGCAGTGATGTGACCTTTTCTACCTTGATATCATTTTATGACCGTGAAATGACATTTTCTTCCTAGATATCATTTTGCTACCGTGATGTAACCTTTTCTACCTTAATATCATTTTACCACCGTAATTTTAGGATAGGAAATCATAATTTAAAAATAGAAACTGAAAGATTTACAATCCCCAAAACTCCTGAAGACCTTAGAATCTGTGATCATTGCAACCAAAATTCGGTTGAAAATGAACTGCACATATTGTTTCACTGTGATCAATATAATAATGATTTGAGAAAAACTCTTTTTATTAAAATCAACGACCGAAATACATTATTTACAAATTACATTTATATCAATGATAAAGTCTGTTTTCTTTTTAACAATACTGATTCACATATCAGCAGGCTTGCTGCTAATTTCATCTTTCAAGCATTTGAAAGACGAAAAAAACATAGTTAATTCTACCATTCCATTATATTTTCATTTCCTTAAATTTAGCTGTTTATTGTTACTTTAATCGATAACACCTGTACAAAATGGTAATACTGAATAAACTTGTTGTTGTTGTTGACTTTTTTCGCCTTGATATCATTTTACACTTCCGTGATAGAGCATTTTGTACCAGGTTTGACCACATTTTACTACCGTGATGGAACATTTTCTAGCTTGATACCATTGTACTACCGTAATGTGACTTTTTGTATCTTGATGTCATTTTACTGCCGTGATCGAACAGTTTCTACCCTGATATCATTTTACAACCGTTATGTGACTTTTTCTACCTTGATATCATTTTACTACCGAGATGTGACATTTTCTACCTTGATTTTATTTTATTACCCTCATGTAACATTTTCTACCTTGAAACCATGTTACTACCGTGATGAAACATTTTTTACCTCGATATCATTTTACTACCGTAATGTGACTTTTCCCACCTTGATATCATTTTACTACTGTGATGGAACATTTGTACCTTGATCGCATTTTACTACCGTGATGGAACATTTTCTACATTGATATCAGTTTGGTCCAAGAATATTAGGGGGGGGGGGGGGGGGGGGGCCCCTCCCCAAGCTCCCGCAATGGGATATTTTTTTTTTTGCGTTGTGTGAGATTTTTTTTCCTTTTTTACTTTTGAAACACACCACCTTTGTGGAAAATTTTTTTCCTTTTAAATTTTTTTTCTGCCTGGGGGCGTCCACCCCTCTCCGCGTGTTTGCGGGGGATTTT